AGGCCAATTGCTTTACTGTCCCAAGCTTAGCATGCTGTGTGCTGTGCAGTGCTTACCGCTCAATCGTGTCTGACTCTTTGTGACCCCATGGACTGTAGCCCACCAGGCTCCTTTGTCCGTGGGGATGCTCTAGGCAAGAATATTGGAGTCTGTTGCCATGACCCTCTTTCAGGGGACCTTCCCAATCTAGGGGTCAAACTCAGGTCTCCCATATTGCAGGCAGATTCTTTACCCTCTGAGCCATCAGGGAAGACTTAGAAGCAACTTTTTCATTTCAAAACAGAAATATAATGAAATTTTAAAAACAATATGTTTGGAGCACCAACTTGCCAAACAAACAAAATGGAAAATGAATAGCCTGGGTTTGGTAGGAATATGAGATCATCAGAAAAATCAAAAGTGATTTCCTCCCCAAGAGACAATATCCAACCCACACTTACAGAGTGAGAGGAATTATGCCTCATCTCCTTAAGGGTAAATTATCTGCATCACTTAGAATTCTTCTAAACAATAATTTACCAATTCCCATTTATTGCTTAGTCATTATTTATATAAGTATCAACTTATGTATATAATATGTTATAACGTGGATAATAATATAATACTCTTATGTTGCCAAATTGTTGCAGCTTTGCTTGGATGTCAGTTCTTTCATTTGGCTCTTTTGTACTCCTTTGACATATTCTTATTACTGTGGTGTCTCTGTTTGTTTTGTTTTGAACATTTTCTTGCTTTCTGACTTCACAAGTTGCTTCAGAATCATCATCCTGCTCCAACCCTAAATTCAATCATTTCTCCAAAGAGGCCTGGTTTCTTTTATGGGACAATGACATTAGAAGATGCTTGATCCTTGGAAGAAAAGGTATGACCAACATAGACAGCATATTAAAAAGTAGAGACCTTTTTTTGCCAAAAAAGTTCTGTCTAGTCAAAGCTATGGTTTTTCCAGTAGTCATGTATGGATGTGACAGCTGGACTATAAAGAAAACTGAGTGTTGAACAATTGATGGTTTTGAACTGTGGTGTTGGAGAAGACTCTTGAGAGTCCCTTGGACTGCAAGAAGATCCAACCCTTCAATCCTAAGGGAAATCTGTCCTGAATATTCACTGGAAGGACTGATGCTGAAGCTGAAACTCCAATACTTCCACCACCTAATGTGAAGAACTGACTTATTAGAAAAGACCCTGATGCTGGGAAAGATTGAAGTCGGGAGGAGAAGGCAACAAACAGAGGATGAGATGGTTGGATGGTATCACTGACTCAATGGACATGAGTCTGAGTAAACTCTGTGGTTTGGTGATGGACAGGGAGGCCTGGTATGCTGAAGTCCATGGAGTCACAAAGAATCAGACAGTCCTGAGAGACTGAACTGAACTGACTGAATGTCATTTAACCAACACGGCTGCAGCTAGAGATTATCGTATAAGTGAAGTAAGTCAGCAAGAGAAAGACAAATTCATATGATATCACTTATATGTGCAATCTAAACTGTGGCACAGATGAACTTATTTGCAAAACAGAAGGAAACTCACAGACATAGAGAACAGAATTGTGGTTGCCAAGGGGAAAAGGGGAGGAAAAGGGATAAACTAGGAGTCTGAGATTGGTAGATGGAAACTATTTCCATTTAGAATGAAAAAACAACAAGGTCCTAATGTATAGCATAAGGAACTATATTCAATATCTTGTGATAAACTATAAAGGAAAAGAATATTTAAAAAAAGAATGTATATATCTATATAACTGAGTCACTTTGCTATACAGCAGAGATAGGCGTAACATTTTAAATCAGCTATACTTCAATAAAAAATTATGATCATTGTATATGGGTTATACATTTCCTATCCTCCTATCCTTAACTTCTGGCATGGTATTTGGAAGCTAATCTCTATTAAGAAAAAATGGAGCTAAGAATAAAGTAATTAATATAGTAATTTATGTTGTGAAGCATTTCCAAGCATCTGAGAAAGACATTTGAATTGGTAAAGGGTCTCTGTGTGGGGCTGGTGAAGATGACTAGGACTCTGATGTTTACCATATCTATTATCTTCACATTGTTTGTTAAGATCCGTTTTTAAAAACCATCTAAAGTAAATGGGACTAATTTCAAATGCTTTTGATGACATTGTTTTTAAAAGCACCATAATGTTACTCTGACTTCAAGTCCAATTTTTACCTGAGATAAGTCAAAGAGCCAGAAACATTCTATCATAGGATAATAAAAGATAATCTAAGTAAAAGATGAAAAAATATCAAATGGCCAGAGGAAATTTAAGACTAGAAAGCAATTAGAGAGTAACTTAAATGTTATTAAGAAAGTGTGGGATCCTGTTATTTCCTAGCTTTAAAAATTACTGGTGCCTCCTTTCTTTTATAGAATAAAATCAAAGTCTTAGCTGAATATTCAAGCCTACAGTTTAGGAATCATTCAACTCAGTTGTGTCTGACTCCTTTTGTGACCCCATGGACTACAGCACACCATGCTCCTCTGTCCATGGGATTCTCCAGGCAGGATTACTGGAGTGGGTAGCCTTTCCCTTCTCCAGGGAATCTTCCTGACCCAGGCATCAAACTCAGGTCTCCTGCATCGCAGAAAGATTCTTTACCATCTGAGCTGCCAGGGAAGCCCCTCATCATTCAGCACCAAGCTCAAAAGCCACCTGTCTATAAATCCTTCCTAGATTCTCCCAGAGAACTAATTTTCTCTGCCCTCTTTGGCATTAATTAATATAATATATAGCATTTAATTAACATATCTTTTACAATAATACAATGCTTTGCATTAGAGCATTTTGTGTTGTCTCCACTTTTTAAATTTTTATGTACAACAACTAACTCAACAAAAATGACCAAGAAGTATTTGTTGAATAATGCTAGAAAGCATTTTTGAAGGTATGCTTATAAAAAGAAAACTATTAACTATCAGTGTTGACAGTATATAGAATTTGGATTACTCCAAGGAAGAGAATATATCTTTCAAGCATTCTTTTTGGGAAGGCTCTATAGAAAGAGAAATTCACAAACTAAACCAATTTCAGTTAAATGCTTTTTTGTTTTCACTTTCTGATAAAGACACTAACAAGAAAAGAAATGGTCCTAGGGCATCCAAAAGCTTCAGGAAATAATAATAATAGTGGGCCAGAATAACCCACACACTGAGCCATGAGCCTCTGATTACTTAAAAATGTGGTCAGGCGGTACTACAGAGATACATCTGAATGAGGTGAAAGGAGAAAATTGTAGAAAAGACTCTTGAATAGGATCACGGCAGAAAGGAAATGACAAGAAAGAAGCTCTACCATGTCATTTTTCCCCCTTATATCTTGGGAGTTCATGTTTTGAACAAGAGTGGTTTCTATAACAATCAATGAAACAGGGGCCAACTATGGAGCCCCTGCTGTGTGGCAAGTCCTGTTAGGTTTTGAAATCATTGAAAGGTTTGACTACGAGGAAGATGTTATTTAGGTTCCATGAAAGATAACACAGGAATAGGATTTATTGAAACCAATCCTGTGATCAGAATTTCTTCTTTTATTAACAACTACTAAACGAAATACAGCTGCATTTGGCAAGCACCCGTAGGTAGTAAAGTTTCATTGATACCTCAGAGGACAAAGAGAGAAAGTGTGAGAATGAACTCTTGGATAATTTTTAAAAGATACCTAATACCAAAACATTCTCTCAGTTTTAACTCTAAGCCTCTCCTCCAATCAAAACACTACAAAAGTTATTAAAATATTTAAATTGCCTGAATTGACCCTGTCCCTTTGGCTGCTTTTCCACTTTATGCCCCCATTTTTACTTGCATAAAATGAGGTTAACCTGCCAAATTGCATTATAGCCTTGTAGTGAGATCAAACAAATATATACACATGGGACTGATAAATTTTTAAAACGCAGGAGTAATTATTGTCAATTATATTGTAATTTATTAGTTAACAATAGTGACAGTCCTCAAAAATAGCAATAGAATGAAGCAAGAGATGTAATTTATAAATCATTCAATTATTTCTTGCTTTGTCTCGAAAAAACATTGTAAATAAAGTGAAACATAACAATGTCCATAGTTCTTATGGATTACAAAAATGAGCTTCACCCGGGTTCTAAATAATGAATCAGGCTAATTAAATACTCAATTGTTTGAAGAGGGGAGAAATAAAGCTTTTACCTTTTGGCTTTCGATTAGATAGGGGAGAAAATATGGTAAGGGTTCCTGTTATGTATGGGAGTTGGTGCCCTGGAGAAGGAAATGGCAACCCACTCTAATATTCTTGCCTGGAGAATCCCGTGGACAGAGGAGCCTGGTGGGCTACAGTTGCGGGGTCGCAAAGAGCTGGACACTTTAGCTGGGCTGATTAGTTGCTTTATTTCTCTTTGTTCATTAATCCTGTCAATTAGCCCTAGTTGCATAGGTGGAGGGAAGTTGCTCTAGATGTATGGCTGAGGGGTACAGCTGAGGCTCTCCCCTGGGTACAATCTGTGATTTCTCCCTGCCGGCCACAGGAACCAGCCGGGTCTGGGAGATACTGAAAAAGCAAGTGTATTGCACCCTAACAAAAGGTGGAAATAAAGATGAGTAATTGCCCAAGAATCATTTTCAATAAATTAATGTAGAAAAATAAATGGACACTATTTAAGAAAAAGAGGGGGTACCATAAAATTTAAGGGGAGGTTATGCTCTTCCTCCTCGCAAAGCAATTATTACTTTAATTGTTACATTTAGTGCATAGAAAAAAGAATTGAATGATCTATCATGAACTAAGAAATTGTTGACATTAACTCTTTTTCCCCTGGGAAGGTTTTGTTTTTTGGTAGTTTTTAGTGTTTGCTTTCACTTTACAAGCTAATAGATGTGCAAGGATTAGATAATATCTATAAATGTCTTGAGATTCCCCAATTTAATATGAATATACATAGTTAAAAGATATATACACCAAAGGAAATGTATAGATTAAAACAGCTACATGTTTTTTTAGAGGTGGAAGGTTACTTAGACTTACAGTCTTGACTTTAGAATCATAGTTACCTTTTATCTAAATTCATCCTTCTTTGGTCACAAGAAGGGTAATTCAGAAAAATTGAAATGTTTTGAAGAGGACGCCCTCATTGATCTTGATGATTTAGGGAGACTGGCTGATCCTTCCTTTCATGCAGGATTACTTCTAATGTTTTCCAGGGGAACCCGACTGCATCCATGCAGTGGCCCCCTAAATCTTTTGCTTTGCAAAATAACCAGACAAAGTTCTTGGGATGGGCTAGGAAAGAGGCAAAGACATTAGGATTCTCCAATGCACTAATTGATTTAGCAGCAGTTTAAAACAATGTTGAGCATTGTCAGAGATGTTCCTTGGAGGTATTAAATCAAGTTTCCCAAGATGGATTGCATGCTAACCACATACTATCTAAAAATCTCAAGGGCTGTTTATTGTTCTGCAATTTATGATCGTCTTGTTAGAGGATTGCACATCAGCTTCCTTCGAGCCCAGGAAGAAACAGAGACAAATAGCATGCAAACTATATTGAACAATTCATTATATTATATTGTAGAAACCTAAGCACAGTGTGGAGATAACCCTTTTATGCGTGCTGCCTTATTGAACAGTAATCACTCTGTAATGCTTTAGATATTTAAATCATATTTATAATAACACATATTAATGTAACATCCCTCATAAAGTTCTCAAGGCATTTTATGGGGTATATAAACCATGGAAAAATACAAAATTTTAAAATTCAGATATACCTACCCTGGGGTCTTAGAGGCAACCTAATGAGGAATATATACAAAATCCCAGGCTGACAGTTTAACTATTTAAGTAGCATATAGAATAACTCAAAGACATTTTAAGATATTGCTGGTTACGAACTCATTCTTTATCTAAATATTTGGCCAGGTTGTATAAGTGCTTACACAGCTTTACTGTTATGGCTAGGAAGAAAGAGATTAAAATTATTTAGAACATTTTCAATCAAAGCTTTCAAATTCACATGCTGGAAAATCGATCACTGATTTGGGTTTATGTATTCCATAAAATTACCTTATTAGAGGACTGGGGTTAATTTTAAAACAAATGAAGGTATTTAACTTGGCATGGCCTGCCCAGATTTGGCATAGTGCTGTGCCTCTATGTGTCTGATAGATAATTCGATAATTAGTTGTTGACTGATTAATCTTCAAAGAAATGGAATGGGGTGCTTGGAGGGTTTGTGGGGGTATTCTATCCTTTTCATAATATGGGAGGTAAGCCATCAGGGGTCTAAACAAATCTAGTCATGTCACCTAAATTTTTATTCTTTTACCCTTTAGTTCAACACACAACTGTGGGAAGGTTTGCAAGCAACCTGAGAACATACTTGGCAGTAGTTAATGCTCAGAGTGGGAAGTTCAGCGCTGTCTTATTCATAGCATCCAAAGCAGGAATAATATGAATTAAAGAACATTCTCATATATAGTTATTCTGCTTTCAAATGAATGAGACATATAATGTTTAATTTTCTAAAATATACTTTTTTCAAAAAGTCTGATGGAGGAGAGAATATCATGGGAAAAGAACGTTTCTGGGACTTCCCTGGCCATCCAATGGTTAAGACTTTGCCTTCCAATGCGGGGGTGTGGGTTTAATCCCTGTTTGGGCACTAAGATCCCACATGCCTTGAGGCAAAGAAACCCAAACATAAAAAACAGAAACAATACTGTAACAAGTTCAAAAAAGACTTTAAAAATGGTCCACATCAAAAAAAAAAATTTTTTTTTTTCTGACTATAGGTCAGTCACACCATTAGCAGTTATGCCACAAACTGCAGCTTTTCAGTTCCCTTTATTACACTTGGTTTGATTCTATTGTTGTACATACCTTATTCAGTGGCTAGGAACATATCAAGTGTTCCAGGAAAGGAAGAGAATAAATGCAGGATAACCAACTCCCAAGTTGTTCAGTAGTGTTTCTAGGGTCAGAACCCTTTCTTGACAACATCATCTGCAACACATTAACACAACTTCGAATGTTTCATGTGAAGGACATATTCCAGTGTGAATGAATGGCTTCCTTTTTGTTAAACCTAGCAGGAATTAGTTATTAGCATTGATGCTCAATTGTTTAAATATAATGAAAATTTTCTCAGTGGTATCCTGCAGGCTGTCTGGTTCGGTGTTCTTAATTTTTAAGAAGGATGCTAAATCGAGAATTCTGCTCCCTAGTATTGCCATCTCCTGTTTAAGTTGCAGTGGATACAAACCTCTTTTTATGAAAGTAGGGCTCTCTGGAAACACAACTCAGCTCAGGTCTAACTGCAAAAGAAAGACTCTTTCTTAATAGACGAGCTGCTTCACTGTTTTAACCAGAACTATCTGGACCATTTCTCTCCAATTTTTTCAAATTCTGAATTCAAGCCTCTAGAGTCCAAGCATAAAGCATCAGGAAAGATTTAAAATATTTCCAAAAGTTCTGTAACTTAATTAATTTCAATTCACTCCTGAACATCATGTTTATAAAATTCCTATTGTATTATACAATTACCTATTGCATTTACCATGCTTCACTCAAGGACTCTTTATTTATTGAGGACCTGCTAGGTGAAAGTTTCTGTGCTGAGAATCAAGAATTCAGCAACAAAAACAGAATCTCTGACTGCATGGATTTCCAGTTTAAGCACTTTCAACTTGTAGATGATTAGATGATTTGGGGGGGGAATGGTCTATGTAAGCAATTTTATGCCTATTTATTTCAGCAAATCTGATAGAATCTTTTTCTGTCTTATAGAATCTTGATGTGGGCTTTCTTATTTTAAACAAATGGGCAACTTTCCTCATCTCTTGTAATTAAGAACATCCCAAATAGTGTTACTTCTTTAATCAGAAAGTGTGACACATGAGTAAGTACCTATGCATGCTAAGGATGCTAGGAGTGCTAAGGATCTGTGGACATTCTCTCTGACAGATTTCAAGAATTCTGGCTTTTTCTCACTGCAAGTGTTTTTCTTACCATTTTAAGAGTCCCCGCCCAACAACTTCAGATGCACACTAAAAATGTATGTTCAGTGTCATTGAAAATAAATCAAAAGGACTTCTGATACAGGCTTTCATCTGCTGCCCTGTTTGTGAACTGCACTCCAGAGAAGCTATGTAGGATAGAATGTTCTCAGAATGTTGGTTGATGGCTCATTGGAAAAGACCCTGATGCTGGGAAAGATTGAGGGCAGAAGAAGAAAGGGAAACAGAGGATGAGATGGCATCATCAACTCAATGGGCATGAATCTGAGCAAACTCTGGGAGTTAGTGGAGGACAGGGGAGCCTGGCATGTTGCAATCCATGGGGTCACAAAGAGTCAGACATCACTTTGCAACTGAACAATAACAACAAATTAACTCCAAATCTGTCTTAATATTGTAACTTTTATTTAAGTGCTTTTATTTAGATCTTTAGATCAAACCAGAGTCAGCCTCCTTTCTTTATCAATTACAGCTTCTAAAATGTTTTAACTCAGTTGTAATGTTCCTACTAATCTTCTCTCTATGAAACTAAGACCCTCTATTGAGTCTTAAACAAACATGCACCATTTGATGTGGTTCATAAAGTTCCCAACATTCTAGTCATTATTTCTCTCTGACCCAACGCAGATACCTCCACAACCCTCTACTCTGGAAAGATGTTATTGACAAACCTTCTGAGGTAGGGAATCCTCCTATAAGGTGGATTGCTTAAAGTAAGGTATTGCTTCCTCATTTTGCCTATTAATCTGCAATCGTACTATAAGTTCCCTAAAATAAATTGATAATCACAAAAGTTTACAGGATAGTGGTTAAAATATAGCTCAGGAATTAAACTTCCTATCTTGGAATCTGAGCACTGCTGATTACTGTTTTGTAACCTTGAACCAATTGATTAACTACTTCTTATGGCTCTTTCTGAATATATAAAATGGGGAAGATAAGAAAAACGCATGGTTCATTTGGTTGAGAGAGAATGACCATAAATGAGATAAAGAAATATACACCCACATAGGAATGGAAATATAGTAAGCACTGTCAAAACCGTTAGCTATTTTTACCAATTAGCTATTTTAATACCAAGAACACTTCCAGAAATGGCAAGTAATTCAATACTTAATTCAGGTAATCAAATCCTATTTTTTGTGATTATTTGAAATATTTTATCAGACATTTAAAAAAAATTGGGGGGGGTATAATTGCTTGACAATGTTGTGTTAGTTTCTGCTGCACAATAATGTGAATCAGCTGTATTTATACATGTGTTCTCTCCTTGATCCTCCTTCCCACCCCCATCCCACTCATCAGATATTGAAATTTAAAATGATGCAAGTCTAAGTCCTTTGGGAAATCAACTTGTTAGTTACTTCGATATTTGGGTATTCCAATTCTGTTGAGCTTTGAACATGCTAGTTCATGCCAAAGATTATGGTTTGATTGTTTTAAAATGCCACTGTCCCAAATGTATACAGGTTTGCCTCACATATTTTAAATATATCTAGTTCTTTCTACAAGACTGAAAAAGTTTTAGAAACACAACTTCATTTTCTTAAAATACTCTTTGAGTTTAAAATGAAGAAGATGGCAGTTATTCACATTTATAGATGGGGAAACTAAAGGATTGAAGGCTTAAGTGAGTTGTGAAAGACCACTCTGACAGTTAAAAGTAGAATGAAAATTATTTTAAAAAATGTTTCCTGTTTCCTGTGGAGTTTGAGTACTATTGCTCCTAAAGACTATTTTGAATAAGAAATATATATCTCTCATAAATCCTGAAAGATTAGCTTAGAGAGGAAATGAGCAAAACATCAGGTAAAGAAATAAAGTAATTGGCATTGCTTAAAGCTTAAAGGAAATGGGACATAGGTTGCCAAAAATACAAAAAATAAGTGACATAAAGAGTAGTTAAACAAGGGATATTAAAATATCAGCAGTAAGAGAGAACACAGAATGAAAACTGAGTGTGAAATTTGTGTGACTTTGAAGTGGCCAAGATATTCAATTCGTTATTCAAAAATCTCTTTTTAATAAAAAGATGAAATTGGGCTGCCAAGTCATAAAATCTTGCAAAAATATATTTCAACCAAAAGCCCGTTTGCAAAGTGCATTTTCGTTTGAATGTAGATCAGAATGTTCAGATGACAAGGATCCATGGGTATTAATGTAAATGGCAAGTGAATTTTCTAAGCTTCTTACAATTATGTTAGAAGTCTCATCTAGTCAGAGTATTCTAGGAACTGTCTTCTTGGCTGATATTCCTCTCCTCAATCTCTAATAATTAGTAGGTGGAAGTAGCTATTTGGGAATCACCTACCGATAGTCTGAATAGAAAAGCTAGAAATTTTAAGTGACTCAGTGACTTTAATTTTCTAGATATTTTAAAAACCACACTGGTTTTGTTTATCCATAAAATGTCTTGTTATTAGATTTAATCTTTGTTCATTTAAATATCCAATACCACTATCCTTTATCTAATCTGTTTTTCAATTCAGTCAAAAGAACAAGTTATTTTACATGTGGTCACATCTAACACATATGAGTTAAATCAGGTGTTGTTTAATTCTGAGGTTCTTGGAGAACATACTATTTGAGCCTGAATTGAAGTTACAAGTCTGGAAGAGAAGAACCAGAAAAGCTGGTGTTTAACTTTGTTATGGCAATTTGAGTGAATCACTTCCTTTCTCCTAGTCTTTGTTTCATCTGTCAAATGCTCTATCAGTCTGGCTAGGCTAGGCTATGCTACAGTAACAAAGAATCACCAAAAAGCAGTGATTCTTTCTGGTAGTCATTGAAAGACTCAGGCTTCTGGAAGCTATATTTCTGTGCCTTCAGGATTTTTATAGGAAAAGAAAAATCACTCTGTCCATAGTGCTTTCTATAGTGGCTGCACCAAATTATATTCTCACCAAAACCCAGATTACTTGTAAAGAGTACTATTGCTGTCTATAATAAATACAATTATTTATTTGAAAATGCTTGGAATACATGCTTAATCAATGACTATATGTTGCATTTATTTTTAAAGTAAAAGGAGAAAAATAAACTGAATATTTTAAGAACAGTACCATATGACATCAAATACTTCAACATGTTTAATCAGGTGATAACTTCAGATTTTATTATAATTTTACATGATTCTTAAGCACAAAGATTATAAGGATGCTTGAGGGAGTCCAAAAGTACAGAACAACTGCATTTTTTTTAATGAAGGTCAATTTTTTTTTAATTTCAAAGTTCAAAACTTTTATTTAAAAATTAAGAATATTAGCGTTAAATAAATTAGAAAAATTGAAAAACTTTTCCTCATATTTTCCTGGTATACATGGGCCTATTTTTTTTTAATCTCTTCATGAGCTATGTTTGTAGCTACAAAAAAATTAGAGAATGGAGATCATTTAAGCAAAGGTTACTTTTCCTTCATTTTCCTGCAGAGTTACCTGGATAAATGACAGCAAAAATAGTCAGAGGTGCAGTGTTTAAAAATAAATTGAGTTGCTTTCCTTAGTTTGGATGACATCAGAGTCCTCCTATTTCTGTGCCTTCAATTTCCAGTGCAAAGAAAGCTCCAAGCATGTACAGAGAAAAACAACAGGGCATCTTATCCAAAGAGAACACCCCCTGCAGTAGGTGAGAGGCTGGAGGAGCCCTGAAGAAGTTCATCTCCACCCACGCATTCCTCTCCTGTCTCCATCCTGAGTTGAGGACTTGTTAATGAAAAAGTGTCCTCAGCTTAGTGTGGAGAAAACACACTGATGCAAATTCTGTGCTTAGTAAGTCCTATATAAATCGTTAGCAAGGTGACACTATTTAGCAAAAAGCACAACTCTTGTCGCCTACAAAATGTGGGCGACAAATCCCTAAAGCTCTCAATCTCCATTTCCTCACTGTAAAATGGTTAAATATCAATTGCCTATACACCTTGCAGGGCTGAAGAGAGAACCAAAGGATATGGTAGTTTGTAAAGTGAAGTGAAAGTTGCTCAGTCGTGTCCGACTCTTTGCAGACGGATTCTTTACCAGCTGAGCTATGAGGGAAGCCCAAAACAATCTGCAAAAATAAAAATGAAATAAACGTCTGATTATCTTTTCTTCACCAATCTGCCCTCGGCTTTGATTTTTCTTTTTATGAAATGGAATGATGTTCCTTTGTCTGGCACAATCTTAGGCTCCTCTGTCCATGGGATTTTCCCCAGCAAGAAGAGTGGAATGGGCTATCATTTCCTCCTCCAGGGGATCTTTCTGACCCAGGTCTCATTCATCTCCTGCATTGCCAGGTGGATTCTTTACCACTAGCGCTACATGGGAAGCCCTTCTATACAAATGAGATGATGTTGCTTTGTGTGGCACAGTCTCAGTAGGAGCCCCAACATTCAGTATCATAGATAGCTTCATTCCATTCCATTATTCTCAAGTGAATAGGAGTGCTATTATCATAGAACAAACTGAATTTCCATAAATTCATTTTTAAAAAGTAAATACTTCTCAAAAATGGGGACTTTTAAAACATTAGTGGTCTAATTCACAATAGATTACCATCTACCAAGGCATAAGGACTCTGGTAGAAATCTACATTTATATTCATGGCCAACCCAGTGGCTCAGCAGTGAAGAATCCGCCTGCAAAGCAGGAGACAGCAGAGATGTTGGTTGGATCCTGGGTGGAGAAGATCCCCTGGAGGAGGGCATGCAACCCACGCCGGTAGTCTTGCTTGGAGAATCCTACTGACAGAGGAGCCTGGTGGGCTACAGTCCATAGGGTCACAAAGAGTCGGACACATCCAGCAACTGAGCGTACACGCACACAAGAGAAAGATGGCAGGCACACTTTCAGATCAGAGAGCCATCCACCCCCTCCATTGTGGCCTAAGGCGGTGGTAATTGTAGCTTGCTTTATTGATTCAAGGGGTAAGCAGCAGCGGAGGCCACAGACAATGGGGAAGGCAGAATCCCCACACACAGCTAACACTGACCCCTAAGGCAACCAGTGTTTGCCCAAGCGTAAGAATCTGGCAGGTCTCATTACTGGTTGAATAAATGATAGTGTGTTAGAGAAAGCCAGGATGGATAACAGGCTCGTGTGTGTCAGACTGTAGGCACCACTGGAGCTCTCACGAAGGGCAGCAGTCACAAGAGGACAAATGACAGAGACATTCACCCATGACTTTCCACATCATTTCCCCAACCCCTTTCCACCTCCCATCAATTCCAAAGAAAACGACTATTTTAAATCCTAACCTGAATGGAGCGTTCCCCCCTTGCATCTTGTTGTTGTACTTTTTTTTTCCTGTCTAGTCGTAATAGGCACCAAAAACAACATGTGAGGACAACTTTACTTAGGATATACCCCATGGCTTGAGCACACGGTTCATTATAGAGCTGCTAGCAGTCACAGGTTGGCAGTCTTACTTAATGGAATAACAGATAGAGAGCAAAAATAATGGTTCCCTTGTCTCTTAGTCTATTAATAGTGGGGCTATTAATATTGCAAAATGACTGGTAATAAGAATATTTTAAGGGGGGGGGAGCCTTGGCCATAAAAGAACTTTTATAACTAAAATGGCTGTGAGAACATAAGTCTAATTCTTAAAAAAACAGAACCTCAGTTTATTGGATACACATATTCATTACTTGTTATTATTGTTTGTTTACTATGTTATTCTTCCTTTCTAAAAAAAATGTTCAGTCATTTTCCTCTTAGCATCGATGTCCAAAAAATACATGGCAACTCATGACCTGGGAATATATTTATATAACATCACAAACGTTTTCCATGGCAACAAGCCTTGTCAAGCTGTCAGACTGACTTCTGAGCAGTTTTCAAACAAATATAATTCTAATAGAGAAATGAATAGGATTCCTGTTGTTCAACAGTAATATCTAATATTGAACTCACGAAATATTGGACTGCATGCTAAAAAATAAAATAAAAAGGAGAAAGTGATTTCCTTCCTTTTAAAGATGCGTGCCAGATATGCACTTACTTGGAGAGTAGTTTATTTTCAGAAGATTGTCACTATTGAAGTTCTGATGATTTTTCTCAATCAACCACATTTCACAAAGAGTTAAAATTCAATAATAGTTTGAGACATTCGACAGACAAAGTAAAAACTGTATCCACTGGTATTCCCCTAATAAGAATTATAAAGACTTAAAACTGAGGTGACAAGAAAGACCAAATTTTGGCTTTTTCATTCAACCTCTGCTGTATTTTCTGGTGGCTCAGAAAGTCAGAGTAAAACAGATATTTGATATAGAATTGAAAGAGTTCTTTGATATAGATTAATTGATAATAGATGGATAATGGGTGGATGGATGGATGGGCAAAAGGAATAATTGCAAGATAAATCTATCTCATGGTTAAATAACAGGTAACTTTCATTCATCTCAGGATAAATAGTATGTTTTAGTCAAGAAGTTAATTTTTATATACATTTTGCACTTGGCAAACTGGACAATAGAGTTATTCACCCTGCATTTTTTATTAAGTTTTTGGAAAGTTAAGAGGAAAATCTCATAGTAAGAATTTCTTGCCCTAGATGACCTTAGTTTTAGAACTCAGAAAACCTAGATTCTTGTCCTGGTTCTGCGGTTGTTCTGATTTTCTATTGATATGTAACACATCACTGTACAATTTAGAGGCTAAAAAAATTCTCTCTCTTATGATTCTGTGTATTGGCTGGACTCAGCCAAACCCAGCCTTGAGTCTTGAGAGTGATCACCCAAAGCTGCATTCTGCTGGGGCCAGGGCAGAAGAAGAGGTCACCTGGCACAAGGACGCTGGCTCATCTGGACTTTCTCCTCCATGTCCTAGCTCATCTCCCTCTCCTCGTCACTGCCCCTACAGAATAACCAGACTTCTTGGTGGAACTTACGGACTCCAAGAGCACAAAAGTAGAAGCACCCAAGTCATCTCAAGCTTTATACCTCAAAGTATTGCCCTGTATTAAAACAGAAAACCAACAAGGACATACTGTATGGCACAGGGAATTCTGGTCGGTATTCTGTAATAACCTAAATGGGAAAAGAATTGAAAAAGAATAGATATATGTATATGTGTAATTGAATCACTTTCTTGTACACCTGAAACTAACACAATGTTGTAAATCAACTGTTGTTGCTGTTCAGTTGCTAAGTTGTATCTGGCTTATCCCTGTCCTTTACTATCTCCCAGAGTTTTAGATTCATGTCCTTTTTTAGTTGGTGATGCTATCTAACCATCTCATCCTCTGTCTCCCTTTTCTCCTTTTGCCTTCAATTTTTCCCAGCAAGCGGGTCTTTTCCAAAGAGTCAACTCTCTGCATTAGGTGGCCAAAATATTGGCACTTCAGATTCAGCATCTGCCTTTCCAATGAATATTCAGGGTCTATTTCCTTTAGGTTTGACTGGTTTGAACTCCTTGCAGTCCAAGTAACTCTCAAGAGTCTTCTCCAGCACCATAATTTGAAAGCATCAGTTCTTCAGTGTTCAGCCTTCTTTATGGTCCAACTCACATCCATAGATAGCTACTGGAAAAATCATAGCTTTGTCTATATAAACCTTTATTGGCAAAGTGATGTCTCTGCTTTTTAATACACTGTCTAGTTTTGTCATAGCTTTCTTTCCAAGAAGCAAGTGTCTTTTAATTTCATGGCTGCACTGTCTGCAGTGATTCTGGAGCCCAAGAAAATAAAAATATTTGCCATGAAGCAATGGGACCAGATACCGTGATCTTTGTTTTATGTATGTTGAGTTTTAAGCCAATTTTTTCACTCTCCTCTTTCACTCTCATGAAGAGGCTGTCTAGTCATCTGCATATCTGAGATTGTTGATATTTCTCCCAGCAACCTTAATTCCAGCTTGAGATTCAACCAACCCAGGATTTCACATGATGTACTCTGCATGCAAGTTAAATAAATAAGGTGATAATATACAGCCGTGTCATATCCCTTTGCCAATTTTAAACCAACCAGTTGTTCCAAGTAAGATTCTAATTGTTGCTTCTTGACCTGCATACAATTTTCTCAGGAGACAGGTAAAGTGGTCTGGTATTGCCATCTCTTTAAGAATTTTCCACAGTTTGTTGTGATCCACACAGTAAAAGGCTATAGTGTAGTCAATGAAACAGAATTTTTTCCTGGAATATCCTTGTTTTCTCTATGATCCAGTGAATGTTGGAAATTTGACCTCTGGTTCCTCTGTCTTTTCTAAATCAGTTCATACATATGGAAGTTCTCTATTCATGTAGAGCTGAAGCCTAGCTTGAAGGATTTTGAGCATAACCTCATAAGCATGCAAAATGAGCACAACTGTACAGTAGTTTGTTCATTCTTTGGCATTGCACTTCTTTGGGATGAAATGAAAACTAAACTTTTCCAGTCCTGTGACCACTGCTGAGTTTTCCAAATTTGCTGTCATATTGAGTGCAGCACTTTAACAACATCATCTTTTAGGATTTTAAGTAGCTCAGCTGAAATTCTGTCACCTTCACTAACCTTTTTTGTAGTAATAATCCCTAAGTCTCACTTGACTTGACTCCAGGCTGTCAGGCTGTCGTGACTCACCACACCATCATGGTTGTCTGGGTCATTAAGATCCTTTTTGTGTAGTTCGTCTGTCAAGAAAAAAAATTTTTTAAAAAGCTCATACTTAAGTAAGGCCCACCAAAAAATAAATAAATAAATAAATAAATAAGAGAAAGTACTGAGTGCAGCACTTTAACAACGTCATCTTTTAGGATTTTAAATAACTCAACTGGAATTCCATCACCTTTTGCCAAATTCTATTCATTATGAGGTATCATAGATTCACAGGGTGGAGACTGCACAAGCATGTGACTGTCAGGAGCTGTGGTTCATGAGGGACCACCGACATAACAAGCTACTTTATCATAAGTAGTGTGACCTAAAGAATTGTTTCCTCAACTGTCGAATGAAGAGGTTGTACTAGATTCAAGTGTACCTTTAATAGTACAAAGTTTCCTGAGCCATTTTTTCAACACAGTATAATATTTCAGGAAAAAAGGACTCTAAAACCCAATACAATCTTAGCCTTATTTTCAAAGCCATACTGAGCATGCCTCATGTCAACAGAATTGGCAGGCAGCTCAAACTGAATACACCTTAATTGTGACTTTCCTTTTATATCTTCCCCTCGCCTTGGAGATCATATTTTAAATGATGGAGCTCTATACTCCCAGTTATCCTTGTTAGAAATCTGGAAATCACTTTTGAAACTTCTTGTTAACAACATCTACCAGTCAGTGAGTCATAGCAATGCCATGATAAAAGTACTATGATTGTACCCATTTTTCAGAGGAGGCAAGTAGGACACAGTGAGGTTACAACCTGTTAGGACACACAGAACTAGCAAGTGGAGAAGCTTTAACTGTGGTGCTATCCTAGTCAAATGACCTTTGGCTCCCTCAGTATATGGAGGTCTGAACTTAGACAATGATTACAAGGACGTGAAAGTTTTTTGAAAGTATAGTATGTACCCTTGTATTGCTTGTGTGACAATTTGTAAATTAGCAAATTTTTCGGTAGTAATTTACCTCTAGGAGGATGGCTTAGGGAAAGGGTAAGTTAGCCATCTTAAAAATAATTGGCAGTGCTATTATCACACACACTAACACGTACACACACACACACACACACACACACATTCAAAAACAAAATAAAAAATAATTTTTATTTTTAGTTAACTCTTTGCAAAACAAATTATATGGAAGCTGTAATATAAATTCTGTTTCATGGGTGAGGAAGACTAAGATCTTTATATTAAATGATTCAACCCAGGGGAGTTGGCACTTGAATTAAGTGTAGAAACAGCTAGCAATGAATAGCTAATAATTAATTAGCTGGAGGAACTGGACATATGGCACAGGTTAGACTTATCCAGGAGGCCATCGTTTTGAGGTCAGAATCTTGGTAACGGGATTAATCTGTTACTTTGTATCTATTTTAGTTAAAAACCTCTGTAGAGAAATGAGAAATGTTAGGCTGAAGATCATGTGCTACAAACTTGAAGTAACTAAATAGTTTTAAAACTATTTTTAATACAATGTTTGTGTTGGGGGTACAAGATAAGGTCCTGAGACACTTGAAGTATATATAAAGACTTTTCTGGAAATAAGGAAAACTATTCATGGAACTGTTTCTTCTTTTGAAAGTGAAATAAATCAACAAATTACTATTTAAAGCATGTGAATAATCCTCTTCCCTCAAGTTTTTCAAATGACTTGTTATGGCTTTGGATATTTTTTCCACTAATTTTCACTGCAAAAAGAAAAATACCACACTGGCAAGGACATGGAAATTTTCTTTGAAGCCACTGAATATAGTTTGGCAGGTCACACTCTCCCCCTTCTTGTCTTCTGGCCACTGCCTGACAGTTTCCCAAAGGGATCATCCCTTGGGACTGGGAAGGAATTTCTTCTGTCTTCGGTGTTTTCTGATGACATATGTTAAAGATAATTAGGAAGGGAATTTACACAGACCTAATAAACACTGATCTAAACAGTTTCTGCAAATTCATGTATGCTCATTTCACTCAAAGATTGGCTAATTCAATTAGTATTCCTTTTATCTGTCCTTTCTATAGTTCTCAGTTTCATCCAGGTTTAATACCAACTAGCCCTTGGTTTATATTACCCATTACTCCATCCTAGCCTTCTGGCAATTCATAGTTCTGCTACATCAGCATTTTTCTATTTATTGCTATTAAACTCCTAATAAATTATATGTCTAAATATATACATTAGTGACCATGAAAAAAGGAGGAATGTGGAAATATTGGCTTCCCAGGTGGCACTGGTGGTAAAGAATCTACCTGCCAATGCAGGTGACCTAAGAAACATGAGCTCAATCCCTGGGTTTGGAAGATCCCCTGAAGAGGGGCATAGCAATCCTCTCCAATATTCTTGCCTGGAGAATCCCATGAACAGAGGAGCCTAGCGGGCTGCAACTATAGGGTCACAAAGAGTCGGACACAACTGAGTGACTTAGCATGCATGGAAATATTAGTATCAATTCCTCTCAAATTAAATGTGGGCCCAAATTAAGTGTGGGCCATTTTTTAACTTACAGTGTATTCATCTAAGGCTATGTCATGAGGACAGAGCATCAAAAGCTTATTAGGATGTTTTAGTCTGAGGTCTACACAACTCACCCACTTTACTGCTCTATTCAAGGTGACCCAGTCAGAGCACTTTTCTCAGTCTGACTGCATCCCAGGAAAACCATACTTTCGTATAATGCATAGTTAAATTGTGTTTTTTGGCTAAGAGATGTAAGTTCCTTGTGTTTAATTTTGGCAGAAACATTTTAGGAATATATTTCACCCACATTCTGAGACCCAAATAGGAGTTAATACATTGGCCCTAGAATTTCAGGGCTGAAAATGACATCAGAGAATGTACAGTCCAAGTTTAATGATTCTTCCTCCTCCAGATCTCTCAAAATCCATCCTCCACTGTCTTTCTTCACAGTCTCTGCATCTGTGTTTGTGGTTTTATCTTCCATGTGGGGTACCAATTCCAAGCCCACTTCCAGGCATCAAACACACACACACACACACACACACACACACACGTCTGCTGCCAAAGTAATCTTACTGATACACAAACCTGACCCAATCATTTCCTGGCTTAGAAATCTCCAATGATTTGCTATTCCCTGTTGGATGAAGTCTAAACAACACAGTACAGGCTTTCCCATCTCTTCCATCACTCCTCACCAATCATCTCTCTATGCCTTCTTTTCTACCTCATCACAGATATTTCAGTGTTTCCCAGAAAGCACCATGTTCTTTCACATCTCTCAACCTCTACACAATCTCTACTGTCTGTCGGGTCTGTATGCACTTCCTCCCCTTCTTCTCTCAGTGACCTCCTGCTTGTCTTTAAAAATCCAAATTAAATGTTGCCTTTCTGGGAGCCTTTCCCCACAGTCACAGAGAGAGTTGGTACACAGCTGCTACAGGCATCAGAACCAACCCATGTGGATATCTACCTGCGCAAACACCATGCTGCATTCTCTCTCCCCACTGGACACCAAGCATGGAGGTCACATCTCATATACCTTTCTGCCTAGATTTGTGCCTATCACAGGGAAAGCACTTCTCTCATTCATTCATTTGTCGAATAAACATGGTGCTATTGATGGTTTAATATTGAAAAACACATTAAACAGCATTCCTGATATCACAGAATATACTTTACTCTGGGACAGAGACACTAGACACACAAATGCATATACAAGTATTGTCTGTGATAGATGCTTTGACAGAGAAGAACAAAGAACAAGAAAGGTACTAAGGAAGGGATGTGTGTGCGCAGTCGCGTCTGACTCTGCTACCCCATGGACTGTGGCTGTCAGGCTCCTTTGCCCAAGAGATTTTCCAGGCAAGAATGCTGGAGAGGGTGGCCATTTCCTACTCCAGGGGACATTTCAGACCCAGGGATCAAACCCACATCTTTTGCACTGGCAGGTGGGTTCTTTACCACTGTGCCATCTTGGGAAGCCCCAAGAAAGGGATGGAAGAACTAATTTTTTTTTCCATTTATTTTTAGTTGGAGGCTAATTACTTTACAATACTGTAGTGGTTTTTGTCATACATTGACATGAATCAGCCATGGATTTACAAGTATTCCCCATCCCGATCCCCCCTCCCACCTCTGTCTCCACCCGATTCCTCTGGGTCTTCCCAGTGCACCAGGCCCGAGCACTTGTCTCTTGCATCCAGCCTGGGCTGGTGATCTCTTTCACCCTAGATAATATACATGTTTTGATGCTGTTCTCTCGAAACATCCCACCCTCGCCTTCTCCCACAGAGTCCAAAATTCTGTTCTGTACATCTGTGTCTCTTTTTCTGTTTTGCATATAGGGTTATCGTTACCATCTTTNGAGGGTTAATAATGATGAAAGTAAGTTCCAGAGACAGAGGGCACATTACCTTTGGAGTAACAAGGGGCTTTGTTCCTTGGGATCCAGGATGAGAGATGAGTTGAGCTAATGCAGGAATGGAGAGCCCAGAGGAGGGAACAGTGTGTTGCTCATCCTTTAAGTGTAGAATTGTTGACAGTTCCCTTTGGGGCAAGCTGATTCTATTTATCACCAAGAACTACAGTTTCAACTGTTTCAAAAGTTATGAGATCACTCCCTCATGACTGAGAAAATCATAGAATGTGTCCTCAAAGGAGTAATGCTCTAACAAGGATGAGGCTACAATGGCTGTATAACAGCCCTCTATATGTATTATATAACTGGCAACACACTCTACACCTTCCCTTGGATTCTAAAGTGAAAGTGTTAGTCACTCAGTCATGTCTGACTCTTGATGACCCCTTGGACTGCAGCCTGCCAGGCTCCTCTGTCCATGGGATTCTCCAGGATAGAATTCTGGAGTGGGCTGCCATTTCCTTCTCCAGGAAATCTTCCTAAACCAGGGATCAAAGCTGGGTCTCCTGCATTGCAGGAGGATTCTTTACCATCTGAGCCATCAAGGAAGCCCCTTGGATCCTAAAACTCATCTCCAACTCAACCTGGCTAAAATGGAATCCTCTAAAATCCCATCAACATCTATGCTCCTCCTAGCGTTCCTTATCTCAGTGCCTGGTACTCCCATCAGCCCCAGAGATCAGCATCTTCCTCTCCCCCACCACCCAGAACCAGCCCATCACCAAGCTGTTGCTGACTTTGCTTCCTAAACATTATCAACTTTGTCAAATTTCCTCCATCTCCCCTGCCATTACCTCAAGCTATTATCATCTCTTGCCTGGACTTCTGTCATAGCCTGCTAATGGATATCCCCTGTCATCTCTTCAGTCCTCAAGTTTA